CCAGCTGTGTGTTGGGTATTTTTGAGATAGGGTCTTACAAACTGTTTGCCCAGCTGCTTCAAACATTGATCTTCCTCATTTCTGCCTCCTGAGTAACTAGGATTACAGGCATGAGCCACCAGTTCCTAGCCTGAAATTCTTTTATTTATTTATTTTTTTGGTGGGCTTGGGGTTTGAACTGAAGGCTTCATGCTTGCAAAGCAGGCACTCTACCACTTGAGCCATGCTTCCGGTCCCTGAAATTTTTAATAAAAACCAAAAGGGTTAGGCTGGGGATGTAGCTCAGTGACTCAGTGGTAGAATATCTTCCTAGAGTATGCAAGACCCAGAATTTGATTCCCAGAACTGAAGCCAAACCAAACCTAAAAAAGAGAAGGGATAGATCTATATCTCTCTGTATATTCTTTAAAGAAACCTATATGACCATTTTAGACATTTAAATATATTGAGCTCGTAGGTTTGGGGGGCATCATTTAAAAACAGTAGCAAAATAGCAATACACATACTACTATATTAGCAGGAATTTTTATTTATGCTGTCTGAATTTTGATGTTAAAAATTATTTCTTTGAGTTAAAAAAAGCAAGCTAGAAATGGAAGGATAAAAATCAAAAGTTGGGTTAGCAGCAGTTGGGGAGGACTGATGCCCAGCTTCTTCCGAGATGCCATTTAAGTTGTTCTCCTTATTTTAAATGCTTATTTTGTTTGTTTTAGGTTGAACAAATCCTGGCAGAATTTAAGGTCAGAGCTCTGGAATGTCATCCTGACAAGCATCCTGAAAACTCCAAAGCTGGTAACAATTTAATCATGGCTATTTCTCAAGAAAATGAATAGCATCCAGAAGCAATAAGCCATTCGCTGAATGTTTTTTTTAAATAAGTCACTGAATTTTTTTTTATCTGTTATCCTCAAAATTATTCTTTCATGCAGTGTCAAAGATTGTTTGCACTGTTGGATGGTAGGAGGGGAAAGACCAGGAGGGAACTTTTCCTTTCTGCTGTACTGTGCTACCTCATGGTTTGTCTTGATGAGAACTTTGCTATGCTTTCTTCATTTCAGGGGACTAGAATATGTCCACATCCTTTCTTTCTTTGATTCTTTTTGGTGGACTGGGATTTGAATTGTGGGTTTTGCACTTGCAAAGCAGGCATTCTACCACTTGAGCCACACCTCCAGTCCATTTTGCTCTGATTATTTTGGAAATGGGGGTCTGTTGAACTATTTGCCTAGGCTGGCCTCGAACCTTGATCCTCTCAGTGTCATCCTCCCAAGTAGCTAGGAATATAGCTGTGACTTTGTCTCTCTCCCCCTCCCTCTCCTTCCTTCCTTAAAGACTTAATATATACAAAAAATAACGAAGAATATTATAACAGAGGCTGGTGTATGTGCCATCCATCTTAAAACTTAATGTAGTTGAAGTCTTTTGTGTATCCCTATGCTGGCTTTTAGTTTTACTATATTTTATTTTTTAATTAAAAATTTTTAGTATACCATATGTTATATCTTATTCTATCCTTCCTTCCTTCCTTCCTTCCTTCCTTCTTCCCCCCTCCCTCCTTCTCTTTCTTTCTATCTTGGCAGGGTCTCACTGTGTAACCTAGCTGGCCTTGAACTCAAGATCCTTCTGCCTCAGCCTTCTGAGTGCTGGCATTATAGGCAAGTTCATGCACTACCACTCCTGGCCTTACTTTTTCTCTTTTTTCCCCTATATCACCACTGTGTTAATTCATTTAAATATGCTTATGTCTATAACTTGAAAAAATACACGCAAACCAATAATCCTTCCACAACCTGTCTCTCTTGTTCCTTCCCTGTCTCGCTCCTCTTCCAAGCCAAACTTCCTGAAAAAAGAATTCCACAATTGATGTCTCTTACCTCCTTTTTCCCTAGTTGTCCATTTGTCTCATTCTGACTTCCACCCCACCTTTCTCAGAAGTGGCCCCTGGGCTCTCTGGTTTTCTGGTCTCACAGTTACTTTTTAGTCATTGTTTTTCCTGAGCTTGCATTGGACTTCAGCACTCTTGGGCATGCCTTTCTTCCCAAAACACTCTTCTCTCCTAGCTCCCAGGACAATGTGCACTGTGGTTTCTTCCAGCCTCTGGCTGCTCTGTCTCTTTTGTGGTTCCTTCTCTGCTGTCCTAAGGCTCGCTCCAGAGCGTTCTTCCATTCAGTTGATCAATAGAAACCTCATCTTTTGATCTAGAGGTGTAGTTCAGTGGCAGAGTGGGTTTAATCCTCAGCACTGAATAGCAACATCAAAAAAGCCCAAACAAAACAAACCCAAACAAACCAATAACAACAACAAAAAGACCTGTGTCCTTCCTCTCTGATACATCCACATATGATGGGTTACCAAGTGCTGCTCTGCCTTCCATGTCTCTCCCCTATGCCCTCTTCCCTATGTCCTCACTGCCGCACTGTGGGTGAGCCACCGTCTTTTCATGCTTGCATCCCTGAAAACTTTCCTTTAATTGTTTCACTTTGTAGAGGGTGACTCTTCTTTTCAATTATGGAAAAAAAGATTTAATATATACAAAAAGTAAGGAGGAATATTATAACAGATGTTGGTGTGTGTGCCATCCAGCTTAAAACTTAATGCAGTTCAAGTCATTTGTGTATCCCTGTGCTGACTTTTATTTTTACTGTACTTTATTTAAAAAAAATTTTTTTTATTCATTTATTCACATGTGCATACATTGTTTGGGCCATTTCTCCCCACTGCCCCCCATCCTCCTCTCTGACCCCCACTCCCCTTGCTTACAGGCAGACCCTGTTCTGCCCTTTTCTCTAATTTTGTTGAAGAGAAGACATAAGCAATAAGAAGGACAAAGTGTTTTTGCTAGTTGAGATAAGGATAGCTATACAGAGAGATTCCTAGCATTGCTTCCATGCACAAGTGTATTACAACCCAATTGATTCATCTCTACCAGACCTCTTCACCACTTCCTGGTCACCTTCCCATATAAACCTCTGTCATTTTAAGGTTTTTTTATTAGCTCCTCTGCAGTGGGGACATCAAACACTTTCAAGTTTTGGTTTTCCTACCTATCCCTATTCTTGTATGTGTCCTCCCCTTAGCGTGTGACTCAAGTCTAACAACATTACTGCTTTGCCCTTGATCTAAAGTCCGCATATGAGGGAGAACATATGATTTTTGGTCTTCTGAGCCTGGCTAACCTCGTTCAGGATGATGTTTTCCAGTTCCATCCACTTACTTGCGAATGATAAGATTTCATTCTTCTTCATGGCTGAGTAAAACTCCATTGTGTATAAATACCACATTTTCTTAATCCATTCATCAGTAGTGGGGCATCTTGGCTGTTTCCATAACTTGGCTATTGTGAATAGCACTGCAATAAACATGGGTGTGCAGGTGCCTCTGGAGTAACCTGAGTCACATTCCTTTGGGTATATCCCTAGGATTGGGATTGCAGGATCATATGGCAGATATGTTTAGATTTTTAAGAAGCCTCCCTATTGTTTTCCAGAGTGGTTGCACTAGCTTGCATTCCCGCCAGCAGTGTAAGAGGGTTCCTTTTCCCTGCATCCTCACCAACACCTATTGTTGGTGGTGTTTTTGATGATGGCTATTCTAACAGGGGTGAGGTGGAATCTTAGCGTGGTTTTGGTTTATATTTCCTTTATGGCTAGAGATGGTGAGCATTTTTTCATGTGTTTTTTGGCCATTTGAATTTCTTCTTTTGAGAAAATTCTGTTTAGTTCAGTTGCCTATTTCTTTATTGGTTCATTGATTTTGGGAGAGTTTAGTTTTTTGAGTTCCCTGTATATTCCTTTGTCTGATGTATAGCTGACAAATATTTTCTCCCACTCTGTGGGTGGTCTCTTCAGTTTAGAGACCATTTCTTTTGTTGTGCAGAAGCTTTTTAATTTTATGTAGTCACATTTGCCCATTCTTTCTCTTAGTTGCTGGGCTGCTGGGGTTCTATTGAGGAAGTCCTTGCCAATACCTTTTGCTTCCAGAGTATTCCCTGCTCTTTCCTGTACTAGCTTCAGAGTTCCGGGTCTGATATTAAGCTGCTTGGTCCATTTTGAGTTGATACTAGTATAGGGTGATAAACATGGATCTAGGCTCAGTTTTCTGTAGGCAGATAACTACTTTTCCCAGCAACATTTGTTGAAGAGGCTGTCTTTTTCTCCATCATATGTTTTTGGCAGCTTTGTCAAAAATAAGGTGGGCATAGCTGTGTGGATTCATATTCAGGTCCTCTGTTCTGCTCCACTGGTCTTCATGTCTGTTTTTGTGCCAATACCATAATGTTTTTATTGCTATTGCTTTGTAATATGGTTTGAAGTTGGGTATTGTGATACCTCCAGCATTGCTCTTTTTGCTGAGTATTGCCTTGGCTATTCACGGTCTCTTGTATTTCCAAATGAACTTTAGGGTAGATTTTTCAGTCTCTGATGAATGTCATTGGGATTTTGATGGGAATTGCATTAAACATGTAGATTGCTTTTGGGAGTATAGCCATTTTTACTATGTTGATTCTACCAATCCATGAAAGCAGGAGATCTCTCCACCTTCTGTAGTCTTCCTCGATCTCTTTCTTCAGTGGTTTGTAGTTCTCCTTGTAGAGATCACTCACATCTTTTGCTAAGTTTACTCCTAGGTATTTGATTTTTTTTTGAGGCTATTGTAAATGGAATTGTTTCCATATATTCTTTCTCAATTTGTTCGTTGTTGGTGTATAGAAAAGCTAATGATTTTTGTAAGTTGATTTTGCATCCTGCCACCTTGCTGTAGCTGTTTATGTTGTCTAGGAGTTTTTTGTACTTTATCTTTTAATTAAATTTTTTAGTACACCATATTTTATATCTTATTCTGTTCTTTTATTTCTTTTTTTTGTTTGTTTGTTTTTTTATGCAGTTCTGGGGGTTGAACCCTGGGCCTTGCACATGCTAGGCTAACAACCACTTGAGTCATACCCTCCAGCCCTAATTAAAAAAATTTGTGTATGTGTTGTTAGGGATCAACCTCTGGGCCTTGTACCATACTTTGATTTTTATATCTTAAATTTGGTCATTACATTTACTGTGTGTCAATATGATCCTCCTGATCTCTGCCTCCTGAGTGCTGGGATTACAAGCATGAACCATCATAGCTGGTTAGGTATGTGATTTTTCTATAATGAAAATATTATAATAATACCTGTCTGTAACTCCGTATTGCTATTTATCTAGCATTTTTTGTTGTCTTAAAGCCCTTTAGTAATTTTCTCCATTAAATCATTGCTCCTTTTGATTTGTATAAACAGGTCATTTCCCTGTATATATGTAATCATCTTTTGTTAGATAGTTAACGGTTACTTTTGTTCACTAGATTTCCCCCTTTTTTTCTTTTTGGTAGCACTGGGGTTTGAACTCAGGGCCTCATGTTTGCTAAGCAGGCACTCTTACCGCTTGAGCTACTCCACCAGCCTCCCCTATTTCTTAAGGCACAGCTTGTTTGAGGTAGCATGAGCAAATCAAAAGTGTAAGCTTGATTTTCTTTTCTTTTGTTTGTGGTGCTGGGAATTGAATCCAGGGCCTTGCACATGTTAAGCAAGTGCTCTATCATTGAGCTACATCTGCAGTCCAAGCTTGATCAGTTTATGCATACATGTCAGACGAAGATGTAGAACATTTCCAGCACCCAAGAAACTGTTTTTCATGTCCTGTTCACAGCACGCTCTTTCATTTTTTGATCTTTATTGCTATTGATTATTTTTGTCTAGTTTTGAATATTATATAAATGGAATCACACAGTATATGTACTCTATTACAACGGCTTCTTTT